ATTCTTCTTCGTTGGAAGGATCCACATCCTCCAGTATATGGTCATTGGTTAAGAGAAGTTATGTCTTACATTCATTTAGAGAAGATTAGCTATACTGTTAGGGGATCTGTAAACAAATTCTTTGATATCTGGCAGCCATTTATATCGTACGTGGAAAAAATTTCAGCAGATAATTTTGTGTAAAAGTCAAATATTGTTTCATTGTACACAAACCTGTTCATTGTATCACTGATTTATGAATACAAGATGGTTTTATGTTGTTGCAGTAGATCCGGTATAGGTGGGGAGGGATAGGAGGGATTTTGGGTGTGTATGTTTTGTGTTTTCGTTAGTTTGTTCTTTTCTGTAGTGTTAAAAAAAATAATAAAAAGACCTTGAAAAAAATCCCACCCTTGTGCAAACAGTGAATTTACTTGTTTTAACACAAAAAATGGCTCAGTAATTGACAACAAAATCAGAACTTTTATTTATTTATTTATTTGTTTATTTATTTATTTATTTATTTATTTATTTATTTATTTATTTAAAACAGGTTAAAACAGCCTTATAGTACAAAGTATTTATGGGGAAAAATGGAATACAGGCTCAAAAGTAGAAATTAAAGATGATAATAATAATATAACAAAACATATTTTTGCCCAAATCAGTAAATGAGTAATTGAAGACATGTAGCCTTTTATCATTCAAAAAGGAGTAGGAAGAAATATAAACTTATTATGCAATATGTGAACCGTGTTGAATTTGTTTATAAAGAAATATTTAACTTTTCAGTGTTTATTTTGATTTGATTTTCTCCTGGTTGTTTGTTTGATTCTTGTATGATCTATTTTGAACAGGCAGGCATGGAAGACAAGGATGAAGAGGAAAGATGTTTATACCCGGTGTGTTCATCTTTACTGCATCTTTTGTGATTGAGAATAAAAGCTCTGTTCAGTTGCAAAGTTCAGATGAAGAAAATTATAGTGTAAGGCTGTGCAATTCTGGATGTTAGCTTATCAACTTTTTATATGAGGGACTTTTTCCTCAAATGTCATGTTTTATGTCTAAATTGACATTCTTGAATTTTTCTGAAGAACCTATTTTTTTAAATGAAATATACAAATTTATCAATCATTAAATGTTTCATCCATAAATGGCTAAATGTTCTTTCAACAGCAAATAATTTCCAAATAATGTTTCACACCAAAAATTGGGAAAACTTTGAACATCCTATCATCTACAGTTTATAATATAAAAAAGATAACATGGCTGAAAGTCGATACAGGATGGTTGTGATCTTCAGGCAGCAATGCATTTAAAACAGGTTGGATTCTGTTATGAATGTCACTGCATAGGCTCAGGACCACCTTCATAATTCACTGTCTGTAAACAGTTCACTGTGATATCTACATATAAATGCAGGGTTTTTATTGGAAATCACAGACACCCTGTCCTCTGTACCAAAGAAAATGCACACTTTAAAATCCTACCTCGCCGATGGTATGGAGGTGCATTACTGCCTAACACATATGGAAAGGCACCATCAGTGCAGAAGATTATAAAAAGGTTTTAAAACAAATGGGCTCCGATCCGAACATATATTTATTTCAGGAAGACCTTGCACCTTTCAGCAAGACAATGTTAAATCACAGACTGCATCCATTACGTGTAAAGAAACGTGCTTTTACTGACAGGTGAGAACGAACCAGGAGACAAATTCAGACAAACATTGATTTGCAGATAAAGAAAGCCAAACAACACCTTTCAGCTGGATCAAATACTGACCTGTATTAGTCTCAGAGTATTTGATAAAGAATCGAAAACTACAGCACATACAGTATTTATCCATCATCTTCTGGGCTGAGCCACAACTCTGGGGCAAACACATCATATTGATAGTGACTTCAGGGACTCAACCCATAAAGAACGGTCTACAATCTAATGAGAAAAAACTGTGTCTTTCTGTTGTTTCATGAAAGGTGTGTTAACTAATCTGTTCAGAGTGACCCATGACACGAGTGCACAACAGTTATTCACAGCTTTAATCACAGTACATAACGATACCTGTTTAAAATATAAACAGTTTAGATATCTCAACAAGATAGAACTCAACACCAACCGTCACTGATGTCTCCCGTCACCATTCAGTATTGACCAACTGTTAGCAGTTTTGTTGGAATCATCACAGGCCTTCATTATTTAAATTATCTCATGAGGTGAATAGACGGACAGACAGGGGGCTAAAGTGATCTTGAAAAAACAACTACGCAAATGTGTTGAACAGGTCTCCCTTATGATGCACACACAATTTGGTGCAAATCTTTTCATGTGATTTAGAGCCAACCATATGTAAACGGCGTGATGTGTAATTAGGCCATGCCCCCACCCCCCAAAATTGGACTGCATTCCAATTGCATGCTGATTGGCTGACATATATGGAATTTAGTGCCAAACATACGTTAACGGCATGATGTCTGACTTCGTCACACCATCATAACGCCTTTCACCAAAAGCTCTTTGTACTTGAATGCAAGTGAGATCAACTTATTTTCTGTTTTCTGACCCAATTTGTTGCTGATTAGGTCAAAGTGTCAGAGATGGAGCTTACCAAACCAAAAAAGGTCACTTCCTGTTGTCAGGGGGCGGGGCTTTGATAATGTCATATAACCACATGGTATGGTCGGGCATGCAACATGGATGACTCATAAGTTTGGTGTAATTTAGCCTTTTTATGTGGAAGTTACAGCCTTCTGAAATTGGAACGGACAAACGGACGGACAGACTAACTGGCGGACAGAGATCATTTCTAAGTCCACTGTCTCAGCGACGGGGCACAATAAAAAACAAGAACATTCATGCATTTAAGAATCTGTTAAACAGAATAAATTTTCCCTTCAACAGCAAGGCTTCAAATTAAAAGAGTTCTTAACTGGCCTGTCTGCCAGACCAATCACCAACTGAAAACATTTATTGCATCACGAAACACAAAATTCAACAAAGATGCCTCAGGACTTTTGAACAGCTAGAATCCTACATCAGACAAGAGCGAGACAACATTTACCTTTATGCTGCCCTCGCCCTGAGTTTTCCCATTTTCACCAGCTAGACTGCGAGATAATGATGCTCCAATAAATAGACTTATTCTTCTTATTTTTGTGCTGATTTAGTGAAGAATGGCCTCTGACCATTGTCTTCTCATTGACCATCATAAAACTGAAAAATACAAAACATGTTTTTAGCTAACTAACATATCAAACTAGCTTGTTTCATGCTCACTACAAGCTAACACAATAGCATGTTCAAAATTCACATAACTGCACAATTTTCAATACCCTTTTTACACAAAATAAAGAGAGAATTATCATTTTTGTCATAATCCATAATTATGGACAAATCTTCTCCAAGGCAACAACATTTTAAAGTCAGTATCAACCTAGCACATGAATGTTGGTTACGTATTGTAACCCCAGATTCTATGAGTGTAAGCGCAGCCCTCTAAGGCTATCGCAGATGGGTACCCCCGCGCGCGCCTGCGCATTCTGAAGAGCCAATAGTCTACGCCAACGTACTGTGGGCCCCACCTCGGTCCGTATAAAAGGGGAGGACGGACCTGAGTTCAGCTCCCAATAGCTTACTTTTTCTTCAGCTATGGAAGCCGGTGAGGCCCCGATCCTTAGAGGGCTGCGCTTGCACTCATAGAATCTGGGGTTACAATACGTAACCAACGTTCTATTTCGTGTAAGCTSCGCCCTCTAAGGCTATCGCAGATGGGTATTAGAGGCGGAGCCTGATGTAGTSTACGCCTCACCGGCTTGACATACTCGTGAAGCTTCCGCCCAAAAAACACCCCTTGTGATGTTGCGTAAGCAAAAAAGGCAGCAGCAAAAGCTGATTCACATAGTGAACAGATTTGCATGAGCCCCTGTGTCCATCATATGATCCAGATGATGTGAAGAAGAGACAGCACACTGTGTGTGCAGTATCACTTCAAGCACAAAGGTCATTATTTGTCCAATAATTTAAGACAAACTACTGTATATTACTCTYACACGGTCCTGAGAAGAGAGTGAGTCAGAGAGGGGCCCGAAACATCCCGTAGATAAAAACGGATGAAGGGGCAAGGGGATGACCAGGAGGCTGCAGAGCAAATATCCTGGACTGATACTCCACTGTACAGAGCAGTGGAGGAAGAGATCCCCCTTGTGGAATGAGCTGACAGTACAGCTGGGGGCTGCAGACCTGATGAGATGTAAGCCAGCGAAATCACTTCACAAATCCAATGTGACAGCCTCTGAGAAGACAAAGGTTGTCCTGCAGACTACTCTCTGTAGTGAACAAATAAACACTGAGAGCGCCTGATCTGTGCCGTGRGTGAAACATAACACGAAAGTGTGCGCACGGGACATAGCAGGTGAGAAGCTGCTTCCTCCTCTGAATTATGAAGAGGAGGACAGAAGCCGCTCAGAGTAATAACTCTGGAGCTGTAAGAGCTTGTGATGCTCATAGGCATAAAAGCCGGGTTGGGACGCAAAGTCGCAGAGCTGCCATCCTCCCGTATCCTGAGACAGGAGGGAGACACTGACAGAGCAGACAGCTTGCTGACTCTCTTCYCTGATGTTAACGCTAACAGCAGCGCTGTTTTCGAGATAAAAGCTTTAGTGAGACCTGATCCAAAGGCTCAAAAGGAGCTTTAGCTAAAGCACCTAGCACCAGTGTTAAATCCCACTGTGGTACAAGTGTGTGCGTGACAGGTCTGTGCCTGCGCACTCTTTTTGAGAACCGTTTTACCAATGGATGATTAAAAGCCGTCCTGTCACCAAAACCCTCGTGACAGGAGGAAATTGCCGCAGTATACGTCTTAACGGTGCTGAAGGCTAAACCTCTGTCCATTAACATCTGTAGGAAAGACAGAATGCAGGACAAGGAGCAGTGGACTGGATCTGCAGTTTTTTCTACACACCAGTGCTGAAAGGATGACCACTTGGCTGTGTAGGATGAGACTGTGGATGCCGCGCGCGCATCCTGGATGGTGCGCACCACATCAGCAGATAAACCCAGGTTTATTAAGCATTTCCCGTTAAGCGGCCAGGGCCAAAGGGACTGGCCCAGTTTCGGGAAGCTCCTGATCGCTCCTCCCGCCAGCAGGAGAGCGTCCTCCTGCCAGGGGAGCTGGAGCGGGAGGCCTGACAGTAATGACTGGAGGACCGGGAACCAGTGTGCTCCTGTYCGCTCTGGAGAGATCAGAATAACCCGCCGCCGGTCTGCTCTGATCCGGTCCAGTAGTCGCGGGATCAGAGGGACAGGAGGGAAGGCATGAAGCAGCTTGTCCGGCCATTGACGGTGCGCAAAGGCGTCCACTCCCAGAGGAGGGTCGTCCCGTGAGCTCAGGGAGAACCAGAGGTCGCACTGTGTGTTTTTTCTGCTGGCTAACAGGTCCACTTCCGCCTTGCCGAATCTGTCCCAGATTTGCGTAATTATGGTCATGTGCATGGCCCAGTCCCCATCCTGGGGACCCCCTCTGGACATGATGTCTGCCCCCCTGTTCAGCACACCTGGAATGTAGATCGCTCGGATTGAGCGTAAGTGGGTGTGTGCCCAAAGGAGCAGCTCTCTGGCTGTGTCCAGCAGCTGCCGGGAGCGTAACCCTCCCTGGCGATTTATGTAAGCCGCTGCCACTTTGTTTTCCGTGTGGACCAGAACATGCTGGTCCCGGACCAGATGAATGAAATGCACAAGCACTTTCCACACAGTCAGAAGTTCCAGAACATTTTTGTGGGGGACAGGATGGGCAGACCAGCGGTCTCCCACAGTCTGGGACAAGCATGTCCCCCCCACCCTGACAGTGAACTGTCTGTGAAGACCGGCACGTGATGTGTCGCTCTGCTTAGAGGGACTCCTGCCGGCAGCGTGTGCGGCTTCCTCCAGTGGCTCAGATCCGCCTCCACTGAGGAGGGGATCGATACTATCCTGCGCTTGTGGCGTATTGGATCGATCTTTAGCCAGAAGAACCACCGCTGTAGGCGTCTCGTGTGTAGCAGCCCGAGCGGCACAACCGCGTGGGCTGCTGACATCATGCCCAAAAGACGCATGATGGTTAGAGCTGTCACTGACCTGCGGGGTCTGACATGCGCTAACAACGACAGCAGAGTCTTTTTTCTGGGTAGTGACAGATGAGCTGTCATGGTGACTGAGTTCAGATCCACACCCAGATACGTGATGGATTGGGCCGGAATGAGAGAACTCTGTTTCCAGTTTATGGAAAAACCCAGCATCCTTAGGTGTGCTGACAGTTTTTCCATCTGTGACGCTGCTTCCTGTCTGGATGGGGCCAGCAGGAGCAAGTCGTCCAGATAAAACAAGATTCTCATTCCCGCTGAGCGCAGAGGCTGCAGTGCTGTCTCTACGCACTTGGTGAAGGTGCGTGGTGCCAGTGCGTAACCAAAAGGAAGACGGTTGTACTGGTACCGAATCTGCTGAAAAGAAAAACGCAGATCTTTTCTGTGCGCCGGGATAACCGGGACATGAAAATAAGCAGGTCGATTGACGATAAGCAGGTCGATTGACGTGAACCAATCGCCTTCCTGAACACATGTGAGCATCTGTTTGGTTGTCAGCAAGTATGAATTTGTTGAAAAACAAGAGATCCAGGATCAGTCTCATTGCACCGGTTTTTTTTTTTTTTTTTTTTTTTTTTTTMGGGGACAAGGAAATACCGGGAATAAAAACCCTCGTATTCCTCCCCACTTGGGACTCTGGAAATGACTTCCTTGTTTAAGAGTTCCTGAAGCTCTGCTTGAAGAGCGAGAGCCTGCTGAAGAGACGACAAGTGGGTCTCCAGAATCCTGCTGAAACGGGGAGGCTTGGTTGCAAACTGCAGCCTGTAGCCCGTTTTTATCAAGCTTTTCATCCACTTGTCCATAGGACAAGTGTGCTCCCAGACGGAGCTGCGCTCTGAGGGAGCTCGCGCATGCGCCGATTGTGGGACGGTCGCCGTAGCAACCTATCCGCTCAGAGCCTTCGCCGCCGTCACGCTCTCTCTCGTGTGACACATGAGAGGCTTTGCTCGAAAGGGCTGTGCAGGAGCTCCGGGGAGCCCTGCGCGCCGTCGTTTTGAATGCGGCCCGGGAGGGGTTGCCTCCGGGGCCATACGCGAGCATGAGTCACGGGGAGTTTCAGCAGAGCRAAGCACAGCGCTCATCGCGCRGCTGTGATTGGTGGATTCAAACTGAAACGAGGCGGGGGTGATACGCCCCTGCTTGTGARGTGGCTCATGCTGCCTGTCTTCTCTTACGTCCGCCGTTCGACGGCGGGGTGAAGAAAAGTGTGTGTGTGCGTTTGCTGGCTACAAGGGGGCAGAATGGACCACCGAACGTGAGAAGGTGGGAGAAGGTGTTTTTGTGCGACTGTGATTAGCAAGGACCATGGGTCGGCTAGCTTCAAAACTAGCGGATTTAGCCTTACCCAGAGTGGGGGAAACGTGTGTGGGACAGACAGAGTCCTGAGACCTGACTGTGTTAGACGCTTGTGAGAGGAATGTGCCCTTTAGGGGACGATATTTGTTTTTATTCACACAAGCACCATAACATCAAAACTACACATTTCCCCCCGCCAGTCATTTCTTCTGCCTCTTGAGCGGAGGCGGAGGATTGGACCAGGTGCAGGCCAGCTGCCCAGTCCCGCGCCGGGGAGCACCCTGCTGCTGCTGGTGCTGGGGCGGAGGCCGGGAGTGCAGCTCCGACGCTGCTGCTGGTGTCGGACGAGGCGCCGTCGATGGTGGCGCGCGCCGAGTCTGCTGCCTGTGAGCCCGGCGGTCCCTGCCGGGACCAGACGAAGTCTGCCGGCGAGCTGGTCCGGAGCGGGACTGCCACCGGAACTGCTCCTGAACCTTCTGCGATGTGTTCAGGTGCTCCAGCAGCTGCTGATACTGAGTYCCGAAGAGCCCGTCCTCGATGACGGGTCCCTCCAGCATCTGTTTTTGCATGTCCGCGGAGACGGAGGGGGCGAGGCGCAGCCACATCTGCCTCTGCAGAAGCATCATCCAGGACCTCAGGGACCGACAGTCCTCTGGCATCTGCTGCTCGTCGGATGATGTCCGGGAGGGCGCTCACAAGGGCCCCGATGGCTGGTAGTGGCATGGATGAGGAGCGAGGGAGACCCAGGTTCCTGGGTTCCTCCTCTCCTGGGGGATCCGTGTCCGGCCCTGCCACCTGGGAGGGGTGAACCGAACCGCCACTGTGTTCGGCGCCGAGGCATGCCTCGCACGTTACGTGCAGGTCGGTGGAGAGCATGTATCCGCCGTTACAGGCGGGGCAAATCTTCGTTTGACTGGGCATCTTGAAGTTCGAATGTCGTAGCTACAGGTCTCGATAGCTGAAGAAAAAAGGGGAGCTGAACTCAGGTTCGTCCTCCCCTTTTATACGGACCGAGGTGAGGCACACAGCAAGTGGGCGTGGACTATTGCTCTTCAGAATGCGCGAGCGCGTGCAGGGGTACCCATCTGCGATAGCCTTAGAGGGCGGAGCTTACAAGAAATAGAACATTCTGGTATAACCTTCCGCCATCTTGGATATTTTTTTTTCTGAGTAATCAAAACAATACTACAAGCAACCACCAGAGGGAGCTCTAGGGCAGTGTAACTTACAAAAGGCAGAACAACCTTCAAAAACCCAGAACCTTTTATAGTGTTGTTAACACAGGGAAATATGGGCGTGTCCCCCATTCAAATTCAAAATGACCTTGTTTAAACATGTGTTATATTTAATATGTTCCATTGTAAATAAAATCTGGATTTATGGAATTTGCAAATCATCATGTTATGTTTTTATTTACTTTTAACACAATGTTATTAAAATGTCAGAAGAAGTATCTCCTCACTCTCTCAAATTGTCTAGTTGATTTGATTTTTCTGCTTTGGTTTTTGTGATGACCTTTCAGAGCCTGGTTCCGTTCAGCTGGGAGATTAAAGCCAAGATGGAGCAGTTTGTGGAGGAGAGGACAGAGGCCAGTTTGGTGAGCGCTCAGTCTCATTTAAAAGGTTTGGCTATGGAGGTGATTACATTAAATGAACAGTAAAGTAAAAGAAAATGCACAGTTAGCATTTTCTGAAGCAGACACATGATCAAACCATCTGGAGGAACATTTCAGAGACAAATGAAAGACCCTCATTTTGAACAACTTTGTCTTTTGTTTTGGAGATTTTTGATTGTTATGGATTGAAAATGGGTTGTATAGATTTTGTTGACTAAAGAAAAAAGTTTTGTGTGCTTTTCTTCCAGTGGATTTCTGTGCTGGTGGGAGCTGTGATAACCATTTCATTCCTTGGATTTGTGGTGTTATTTCTTTACAGGCGATACAAACGATCAAGTTAGTGTCATTTACGCAGAACATATCATCTTTACATTGCCTTTCTCACAGTACAAGACTGTTTTGGTATCATAAAAAGGTTTGCTTCACGTGTCAGCATGTTTAGGATCCAGTATCAAATGGAAGGCATTTGAATAAGTGTTCAATTCAGTCGTTGTGACTTAATTTGTAAAAAGCTGTCTGTTGAAAGACAAACTAGCAGATTGCTTRAAATCTTTACTTTGAATTAATTTTCTCGTTTAATGAATGATAAACCTACAGTGGTCACAGAAATAACTCAAATCTGACAAAAGTAATATTAAATAAAAATTCTAAGAAAAACTGAAAGTCAGACATTGCTTTTCCGCCATGCTTCAACAGAATACAAAAAAAAKCTCATAAAACAGGCCTGGACAGAAATTATGTTACCCCTGAAAATAATTTGACCATAGGAACTTGTTAAATCAAAGTGTGTCCACTAATTAGCATTACAAAATAATATGAAGGAAGAGCTACTCTGGACCGTCTCCTCAGTCCTTCCCATGAACAAACATACCCAAATCCAGACATCCAATTGCGCTCTGTTTTACTGTTCAGTCTTTTTTATTATTATTTATTTATTTATTTAATATTTATTGCTTGTGTAACCATGGGCGGCCAGTTTGCAGCAAGGCCAGTTTTATTGGAAGAAGGAAGTTGGCACAAGTAGCGCACTTCTTCTGTCAACCAATCCAGAGCTATCCACGGGCAGCATTCTGCTGACGTCAGAATCATAAGCATGCTGTACTCGCTTCTGCCCAGAACCATCGGAAAAGAGGTACAAACCGTGCTCTGATTTTGGTTCTATGTGGTTGGAACCTGGAGACACACTTCAGTCAAACCGCGGATCAGAACAGCAACAAGTATGCCGGCGGAGAAGGACTGAGACTGGAAGTGTCGCCAAGTGATGTAGCTCCAATTGCTTCCTGCCACACAAAGAACTGAATTGGGAATTCTCTCTTAAATAAAAACCATCCCAGAAAGACAGTCAGCCAGAGTATATAGCTTTGTGAACAAACAGACGTCTGAGGGGGGCGCTTTTTCCATAAGTTTTCATTGAGTTGACCTCACACCACTGTTGAAGATAATGATGATGAAAATTTAATGAGATAAGTGGTACTACATGTTTGTGAGTTTAGATGGTTCAGGGGCGCTTTAATGTTTTAATGATGATAAAAATTCAGTGAAAAGTTTGGTGTAGCGCTACTCAATTTTAAAATTAGAAAGCYCAAATCTGCACATTTTCAGAAAAAATTAAAACCCTTGAAGTGCAAACAAGAAATTTAGGCCTGCAATTAGCGCTTTTGCTCTTTAGGGGACCAGTGCGCACCCCTGTATGGGACTGTAGCCAAGCTCCCTGGACGTGGCTGCAGAAGGAAAATTGATGACAAATCAAAGAGACACTAATATGAAGGGTAACAAAATAAATACTAAAGTATTAAAGATGAACTTCAAGCTCAAGGAATACCAATGTCAGATTGCACAATCTGTTTTTGTTTGAACCAAAGTAGACTGGACTTAATGGGAGACGACCAAGGAGGGCACCATCGTTGAAAAAAAAAACCAGACTAGAATTTGCCAAATGACATGTTGACAAGCCACAAAGCTTCTGGAAGAATGTCCTATGGACAGATGAGACAAAAATGGAACATTTTGGCAAGGCACATCAGCTCTATGTTCACATAGGGAAAAATGAAGGAGGAGGAGTCTGTTATGTTCTGGGCTGCTTTGCTGCATCTGGAACAGGAGGTCTTGAATCTGAGAAATGTGCTGCCCAGTGTCAGAAAGCTTGGTCTCAGTCACAGCTCATGGGTCTTCAACAGGCTAATGACCCAAAAAAACCAGCTAAAAACACCAAGAATGGCTCAGAGGAAAACATTGGACTATTGTGAAGTGGCCTTCTATGATCCTGACCTAAATCCTGTTAAGCATCTTTGGAAGGAGCTGAACTATGCCATCTGGAAAAGTCTCCCTTCAAACCTGAGACAACTGGAGCAGTTTACTTATGAGGAGTGGAACAAAACCTGCTGAGAGCTGCAGAAGTCTCATAAAGAGTTACAGGAACCATTTGATTGCAGTGATTGACTCAAAAGGTTGTGCAACAAAATATTAAATAAGGGTACCATCATTTCTGTCTCGGCCTGTTTCATGAGTTTCATTTTTAAGAAAATTCTGTTGAAGCATGGCTGAAAAGCAATGTCTGACTTTCGTTTGTTCATTTAATCACAGTGGATTACAGTAGTCCAGTCTAGAAGTGATAAATGCACAGACCAGTTTTTCTGTATTATTTTGGAACATGTTGTTGGTCTTGTTTCAGAGGAAGATGCTGGTGTTCCTCATTACCGTTTCAGAAAAAGAGACAAGGTGATGTTCTATGGGCGGAAGATCATGAGAAAGGTTAGTCCTGTTTTTATTAGTCACCTTTTTCTGCTGACATCCTTACAGAAGGCCCAGTTTGCCCCAGAGGGCACCACTGATTTTATGTTTTCTCAATTTAACAGTCTAATTTATGTATTTGGGAAGGTTTTAAGTTTTTTTTTTACTGTACACAGAATATCAGCCTGCAGCTGGCTTTATTCCTGTTCACTATATGCTACTTATATTGTCCTGCTGTAAGCTGAACCTCTGTTCCAGCTTCAAATTGATGGGATTTCTCAATTGCTGAAGAATTTCGTGTGTATTTTTGCTCCAGTGATATTTCCTGTAACTCTGATCAGTTTCCCAGCTCCTGCTGATGGAACAAAGCACCCTCAGGCTGATGAGAGGTGGTAGGTTTGACTCACACATGGTGTTGTCCTTGATGCTCTAAAGGTTGGAGGTTGGTCTCTTCTGACCACAGCCACTTCGACCACATTTTTGGGCAAGAAATTTGTGTCCAGCATTTTTCTTTAATCAATAGGCTCTTATACAAAACAATTCTGTGAAATGGAGCTGGCCACCTCCTGCATTTTTCAGAAATGAAACAACCAAAGAGGGGTGGAGCAGATCTCAGCTGCTTTGATGTGGATCTCAGTACAGTAAATGTGTGACAGATAAATGCCGGCTTACCCTTTAACCTGTCTGCAGTTTTGGCTCTGTTATATTCTCTCTTTGTGGCTCAAATGCACATCTGGGGTTGTTTGGCTTCAACCCTGCACCATGCTTTAGTCCATTCAGAAATGGACAGATCTCTGCAGAAGAGCCGTCCAGCTCCATCAGGGTTATTTTTAGTCTCTTAGATGTTTATGCCTTCCTCATATGTTCTACAAGATTTGGTGGATGGCTCCTTTTTGGCAAGTTTGCTGTGGTGGCATCATTTTTCCATTTTCTTTTAATGAATTTATTGGAGCTTGGATGGATGTTTTTTAGAAACTAATCCTGATCTAGTCTTAGTTTTTTTACTTGTATGGAGAGTTCTTGGTCTTCGTGATGCCTCTTGCTTGGTGGTATAATTTACTGCTCAGAGGTTTTTTTGACTGGTCTTGAATCTGGAGGCCATCAGAACAGGTGTGCATCACATGAGATCATCTGACTCTTAGTTACCTATAGTCCAGTTGAACTAATTATATGACTTCTGATTGTTACGTTTGGTGTTTAAAGAAAAGCGGTGAATACATTTTTTTATMATTCAATTTTATTACATTTTAGGTTTTAGGGAAGCTAAAGAGAAAGACTACAAAGAGGGGCGAATACTTTTAAGTTCAAGTTCAAGTTTATTTATATACCGCCAAGTAACAACATATGTTGTCTCAGGGCACTGTACATAAAAAGAATAATCTAAAGAAGAAGCCAGCAGGCTGCGTTGAATCACTTCATCACAGTCTCCCATCCTAAGCAAACGGTGGAGAGGAAAAACTCCCTGCTAATCAGGAAGAAACCTCCAGTAGAACCAGGCTCAGGACAGGCGGCCATCTGCCTCGACCGGCTGGTTGAGGGACAGGAAAGAGACACCGGTAAACACAGAAGAACTGGTCCGGGACTGGTCCAGGTGCACCTTTTTCTGGAAGAGACAAAGAAAAAACATGATAGAAATAATAACAATAAACATGTAGAGAAGAGAGACTAAYGACAACAGCAGAGTGAGGAAATGTGCTCAGTTTGTGCTCCAGCAGTCTAAGTCTATAGCAGCAGAAATGAAGAGTAATTCAGGAAACCTAAGTCTAACTATAGGGTTTATCAAAAAGGAAAGTCTTCAGTCTAATCTTAAAAGTAGACAGAGTGTCAGCCTCACGYACAGAAACTGGAAGTTGGTTCCACAAGAGAGGAGCTTGATAACTGAAAGCTCTGCCTCCCATTCTACTTTTAGAAACTCGAGAAACCACAAGTAAACCTGCAGTCTGAGAGCAAAGTGCTCTGTTAGGAAAATATGGAACAATAAGATCTTTGATATATGATGGAGCTTGGTTGTTAAGAGCTTCGTATGTTAATATTTTAAATTCTATTCTGGATTTGACAGGGAGCCAGTGGAGAGAAGCTAAAACTGGAGAAATACGATCTCTCCTTCCGACTCTCATTTTACAGGGCACTGCAAACTGGACACCTGTAAAATCTTTTATTAGTGCTATTGTTTGCACAGCTCCTTGGTTTTTCAGAAACAGTGTTTCCATATTTTGCTGTTGCAGGTTCAGACGCTTTCCACAACTCCTGCTTCGAACTCAAACTCAGCCTTACGGCAGAGAGGAAGGAAGAGGACTAAAGTGCTGTCCATAGCTCGCAAGTGAGACCCCTTTCTTTAAAACAAACATACAAACAAACAAAAACAACTGTGAAAAGTCTGCCTACTTTAGGAAGAGTTATTTTAACAGAATATTCTTCCTTCGGGTTCCACTTTAGTTGGACCCTTAAATTACCTTATCAAGAGATTTTAAAAGTCCAAAGACCAGATGAAAATATGTCTATAAATGTAGATAAAGCTAAGGATTTATAAATCAGCATTTTGACTATTATTTTCCTGTGTTTTATTTTTCTGTACTGCCTATTTTTGGCTGTTTTATCCATTCATGTAACAAATGTTCAACTCATTCTGGAGATGGGTGCTATTATGTTTGTTTATTTTAAGTTTTATGCTTTTCAAATATTTAACCATTTACAAATCCCTGAGATTTGGACTCACATTGATTGATTTAACATTCTTCTAGAAGGCGACCTCTGACCTTTTATGGTCACAGGTTTTCTATTGCTAGTGACTAATGTGGGCAAAACTCCTACATTGGTTATTAATAAAATAAAAGACATTGAGATCTCTTCAGTTACTGCAAAAAACATTATTGTCGTTGAAATTTGCTTCAGCATACTTGTTCTATTTTTTTTGTCTTGTACTACTTTCAGCTTTTACAACAGTTTTCTAATTTTAGCTAGTCTTTTGATACTTTTAGCTTTTAGTTGGTCTTTTGTTAATATTAGTTTTTACCAGTCATTTGCCACATTTAGCGTATATCTAATGTTTTGCTATTTTTAGCTCCCATTTTATTTCTTTTGATTTGAGTTAGTCTTTTGCTCTATTTAGCTTTAAAATATTTGTTTCTTTTAGCTTTAACAACTGAGTTTCAGCTTCTTTATCACTCAGTATTTACCTTGCATTTTCTATGGTTTGGGTGAAGTTTGCTGGATAGTACAAGCTGACAAAATGTTGAGAGATTAGCTTTTATAGCCATAATGTATCTTTCTTTCTGCTTGTGTTAGGATTTTGCGTCTCCGCAGAGAGCCACCCACCCTCCAGCCGAAGGAGCCTCCTCCATGTCTGCTGGAGGCTGACCTAACCGAGTTTGATGTACAGAATTCCCACCTGCCTTCTGAGGTGCTGTACATGCTGAAAAATGTCAGGTTTGTATGCTGATCTTCATCCAAGTCAAGTCAAAGTGTATCACAGCAATTAGCTTATTTTTAATATGTATTTTGTAAAGTAAATTTCTACACTTTTTTTAAACAAACACATTTTGAAGTTACATCATTATGTTGGAAGGTTGTGTGTTGAGATTTTACAGTTTTGTGACATTTTTAGGGCTGAATTACTTATTAAGAAGCATTAAAATATTTTAATATGTCTATTTAAAATTACAGGTATACCATTTCTTCATTTCATTTTTTATTTTTATTTATTTACATTTATTTAACTAGACAAATACCATTAAGATAACAGATGTGTCTGAAGGCAGCCTAACATCATGCTTTTAGACTGTGGGAAGAAACTGGAGTACCCAGAGAAAACCCACACAAACACAAAGAGACCATATGTAAARCCCACACAGAAAGACCCCAGTTCCAGACTGTGGATTGAACATGAGATTAGTTAGTTAATACAAAACATTTTTATTTGCTTAAAATCTTTGTATTGTAATTTCTAATAACTGACTCATTAAAGGCAAAATCACAAAATTATTCAATGAACAGGTATCAGAATTAGCGATACTAGCCATTTACTTGGTATTAGATCATTACCAGAATTCCCAGTATGGCCCACCCCTACTGAGCTTTAATACCTGATGCAGGATTTACTTGTTGTTTGCAGATTAGAGGTAAGCTAGCTGTGTTTTCCTTCAGGGTGCTTGGTCACTTTGAGAAGCCACTCTTCCTGGAGCTGTGTCGTCACATGGTGCTGATCCAGCTTCATCAGGGAGAGGGACTCTTTCGACCTGGAGACATTGATGACAGCATTTATGTGGTCCAAGATGGCCGCCTGGAGCTGTGCATTCATGAGAGTGTAAGGCAGAAACGTTCACAGCACATATACATACGTGCTGGTTTACAAAGTGATATATTTGACTTAAAGATCATTTATCCAGCCTTGCTTATAATAAAGTAGTTACAGAAAGCCTTTGATGGTTTCAGATTTTCAAATGTGTAATGAAAATATGTAGAAAAAATTTCAATCATGAGTATTGGTTGTGTTGGAGGGTACAATGACAGTAAGCTGTGGGAGATACAATGCACCTGTGGGAACATAACAGAGGAGGTAGGAACATAAAGTCTCTAAATGAGCACATTGTTAATCAAGACAAGAATCATAAAACCCCAAAAAAACACAACACAAAACACCGATCCCAACAACCACAAAGCTTTGCAGCCAGTGGGCTTTTCAACAGTTCCATTACATGGCACCCAGTGTTTGTAAGTAGCCTGGTTGAGATTAGACTGACAATGTTTGGGAGTTCTAGAAATCCACAGGAGCCTAAATGATAGAATCTTAACAAGCTGGGTGTTAAACAGAAGGTGTAGAATGAGATTCCTGCAAAGATTCTTAACACCAAAATAAAAACTAAGGAGGTGCTTATAAACTACTACTCGTACGAACGTCACGTCAGATTCAACAAACTTTTTTTATCTTCAGGAAAAGTGTGCAAATGAGGAGCGTAAACTGATGAATGCGTATCAGGTGCTCGCGCACGAGGAGAGGAGATTAGCGTAATTACTACCCCTAAAACACCATATAAGGCTATGTTTCCTGCTTCAGACATCAGGAAGTGTCCATTCATGAAAATGACAGTGAAAACTAAAAAGAAGAACTTTACGAGTTCAGAGATTGTAGTCCTGCTGTCAGAGATCCAGAAAAGAAAATGTGTCATTTTTAGCAGCGTCAGCTGTGGAATAAAATGAGCTGCTAAAAGTATAAACAACTGTGTTAAATTATTTTCATTTATTCAGAAGTCACACCCTTGCGCACCGTACCCTCCACCCCCGCGCAGTCGCAAGTGGTGTCAGTTGCGGTTCTGAAATAAGCATTTTAAAATGTTTTCGATATATGTCTGGCACTGTGGAGAAAATCCAGGACTCGCGGYAGGGCTTATGTATCCCCTCTGGCCTGGGAACATCTCGGAGTTCCCCAGGACAAGCTGGGGAGAGGGATGTCTGGGTTTCTCTGCTGGACCTGCTGCCTGCGCGACCTGTCTATGGATAAGAGGAAGAAGATGGAGATGGAGACTTTGGAGAACATAGCATAGCTGATGTGCTGAATAAATCTCAACAAAATAAAATTTGATAAAGAAAAAACATCTGGCAAGCTAATCATATACCGAAACAAATTAAACTTCAACTAATGCGTAATTGAAGGTGGTGTTTAGTTTGAGATCTTCATATAAATATCGTAGTGTTATACAACAGCATTAGCCACTTTATTTTAATTTAAACAATTTATATTGTTAGTCTAAATTATTACATTTAAAATTATAGCTCCTATTCAAGCAGAATAGCCTATTGTCAAGATAATCATAGAGTGTGATTTATTTTCAACTCAAAATATCTTCAAACTTACGAAATATAAATTTATTAGTGAAGAAAATCCATCTGGATAACAGCAGACTGACTGCACGTAAAATATACGACAGGTCTGGACCACTCGT